AATTCGCGTCGAAACGCCGACGGAGTGGATTTGTTTCGATAAATCAAGAGGAGTTTTGTGTGCATTGAAATTATGGTGTTGTGTAGGTACTTACATATGAGATCGATATAAGTATACGTAAACATGTTGATATGAACAGTCATGCAGAATTCGGGTGACCGTTTATCAAACCGAGAATTCTGACGGAAGTAGAAATTTTAAAATTCGTACCATGTTAAATGCATTTTTAAACATTTTTTCATTTCATTTAATTCATTATGTAAAGTTTGACATTTGGTTCATTCCTAGTACGGTGTTTCTTAATTTTGTGCAACGTATCCAGGGTGTGCGGCATACGTATATACATATATATTTCGAAATTATTAAAAGTAAAAATGCAATTCTTTGAAAAATACAATTCACAGCTCGTTGGAAACCTTTGTGTGGCACACGTGAGGTATAACGTAATATTTACAAAAGCTGTCTCTCATCTTTTTCAAATATAACGACGTACAAACGCCCTTTACATCGTGTTTCAAATAGTAAATGATAATTATTTTATTTGTAATTAATAAGAATTATGAATCTTTCTACTTACAGTTAAATTAGTAATAATTATTTTAAACATGAAAGGGAAATATTTTTTAACGAAAAGATCTTGAAATTGTAAATATTCCGTAAATTCCTTTGGTAATATTGTTTCGACGCATCGTTAAACATTCCTACTTCCTTAACTGTGAAAGGTACAAAAAAGAAAAAAGTGGTAGATGTACATGTTTATTTTCAAAAAAACCATATTCAGGAGTTTCTATGTCATTTTATGTGGAGAAATGGGAGGCGAGTTTTTTGCAAATATAACAACTGGAAATATAGCTTGCAACATATTATCCAGTCCAACTTGATATATAATATAAATTTATTATGTTACACACACGCACAGTTAGCGTTATCGCATCATTCAGATTTAGAGGTGAAGTAAATCTGCGAGAAAGTGTCGACGAGGAGTAATCTATATATTCGATCATTCTTCACGAAACATTCCACTTTTTCAAATTCCGATAATTTGCAAAATATGGCAAAAGATTTCGTTGAACTTATTCGAGCAATTTCACACGCTTCGACAGTTTCTGCTCCGAAGCGATAACGCTCCAACATTTTTCTAACATTTGTTCGACTAATTCGTAAATCAGGTACATAAATTTCACGTTTGCAGTTGCAAGTCTACAATGAATTTAGCCTTCTGCGAGTTTCCTCAGCGTGTCTTCAACCCTACCGCCGCGGTACATTTGAAACGTTGTAAAATTGAAATTCCAAATGAAAATTTTTAAATTCGTCGTTTTAAAAATTCAAGCGGAAGCAGGCGGAAAAGAAGAATCGAGGCATATGTCGAAGCGAAAGTGTGCCAAAGAGCGCACAGTGCGTGAAAATTTTCAAAGCGACTATAAGCTCCAAGGACACACTGCGAGAAAATATTCAAAGCGACTATAGCAGTGAATGCATATTCTCTTCTATTTGTTAATTTTTCCATTTTCTTTCGAATACAATTTTAGGTCGTACCGACATTTCGGTCATTAGCGGCCATAGTTGGCGGTTGTTCTACATTTCACAATAGAGGTTTCCTATTCCACGTTTCTATTTCTTATTTTACGAGAAACAACGGCAGCTTCACGGTGTTTTATTATTATAGTCATTTCACGAAATCCGCTGACATCACGAAGCCACTAACGATGTAAAGATTGCAGTCAATGTAATGGATATGTTCTAATGTCTCCTTATCGAGGACTTAATTTCAGTTCTCTGCATATTTCATCCGGCGTTTATTGTGCAAGAATCGAAGTTTCGTTTCATCCGTCCGAGCGACCGGATTGTCGACGAGACGAGCTCCTTTTGCGTAGAATATTTCTAGAAAATATCCGTTCCATTTTCAGACGTGATTGTTAAAAGAATTTGTTCATTTCGAAGTGAAGGTTCGCCGTGAAAGAATTTAGTGAAAAATGTCGGGAATGACGTACGCTCCCGTTTTGACGAGTAAGAATTTTTCAAAGAATCATTCTGCATCCTTAAAATTGCCGGTAATATTTCTGCATGGTGGTAAAAATATTCAAACTTTTATCTAGGAGACTGTTTAAATTTTCTTTTTAAGTTAGTACAAATTACTATTGCACAGATTAAAATGGTACAAAGCGAAGAGAACGGTCTCTGTTCGTACACTAAGAGACTTTAAAGGTATATTAAAGTTGATATTAGCGATAGCTTTTCAACAAAAATCGAAAAATGGAAAATGTAAAAAGAAGAAAGATCAAATGAAATCTAATCTCGTTACTAAAAACAACACTTGAGAGTGAAATCGAGAGAATTGTAGTGATTAGTGACTTGTTAGAGATAACTGAATTCTTCACAGCTAAGCTATCTCCAAGATTTATTTCCCTGAAATGTTCGAAAGAAAAAACAATGTTATTTATTTTAGAGTAGTTATACTGTACGGTGATAGAGTTAGAGTACAGGGATTACCGCTAAGTACAATTCAGTTACAGCAAATTTCGGTAATGTGCGATGTGGGAATTATAATTTCACCATAGCACAACCCGCGATATACCTGAACTATATTAAAATATCATCACGCGATATTAATTCATCCGGTATAGAAATAAATCATCGAACAACGCCACGTCCATAAATCCCGATTTATTCCGATAATATATTATGCAATAGGATTTTAACTCACGCATATCGGTAAACGCGAGAACTTAAACTATAATTTCATTATTACCCGGCATATTTCCAGGTAAACAATTTGAAAGAACTTATCGGAACAACATAGTTCGTGCATTATTCTCACGGATAAATTCGAGTTTATCCGGCGAAGTTATCGATTTATCCGCTAATACGTATATTTATCACCGTTCAACGGTGTACAGTGTTTGTCGATAATACCGATCGGTGGTAAATCACGAAAAAAGTAGAGGATATCTGTACTATACTCTCTGTGTACAAATAACGATCTTGGTTAACATCGGTTGCATAAGTCGCGTAATTAGTTAGGAAAGTAATTAATTCGCCGCAAATAAATTGCTCGAACTTGCGAAATTTCCAGGGAGGAACGTGACTTCGAGGTTCGATTCGAAGCAGCTACTTCTACGGAGGATACCGATCCTATCATGGCTACCCCGATACACTTTATCCAAACTTCTGCAGGACGTTTTGGCAGGATTGACCGTTGGTTTGACTGCTATACCACAGGGCATAGCTTATGCAATTGTGGCTGGACTTCCAGCTCAGGTGTGTGTACTCAGTGTCTGATATTGTTAGGAGTTTCTTTCGAAACGAAGAAGGAAAATCGAGAAAAAGGATTTCGATTCTTTTCGGGCCTCGAAAGTTAGGACACTCTTTTGGTATTCCATTCGTTGTCTCGTTTTGCCTTCTGCATAATACTTGTTGTCTTATTTCTTCCCCGCTAGATTTTTCACTCAGTAAAATGCGTCTTTCGAGGTAATTACGAGATTTTTATACGATCTCGTCCTTGCAAGCAAGACGGTTAAAATAATTTGCAACATTTTAAACACGATAATTATGTTTGCGCAAAAATAATTAAAGGTCCGTTTACTCAGATAATTGTACCGCTTAATATGCTTTAGAAACTTCAACAAGATCTACATTAAGGTAATTACATCGGGGTAATTAGTAAAAGTATCACTGTAATAAAGCTGTATCAAAGGAAGCAAGCTTTTCGGTGACGTTTTGTGTAAATAAAAATCCTCCTCAGACATTCTTTTCACATTTTCGAAATTGTTAATTGAAATTTTTAATTTTGTACGTTGAATTATTCCCGACGACATACCACATGTACGAAAGCTACAGTTTCGCGGAATAAATTAATTTAGCCCCGTTCGATAATGCGCGTTTGTTTCTTCGAATTTGAAATAAAGCCTACTGTTGCTTGCCAATAAATTTACATTTCGAACAGAACGGAAACAAAGAAGAGGGGAAATAAAGAAGGGACAATACACGGGTAAAAGATAAAAGAGAAATGTGCGCGATGCATGATTTACCTTGCAAATGTAGCCCGCGTTGATCTTCTTCGACGATCGAGGAAAAAAAAGAAAAAGAAAAACAAAAAAATACGGGCAGTTACATCGAATCGACGATAAAAATCCGAAAGGCGAGTCTCGTTAGGTGGTGAACTTTTGTGAACTTCAGTACGGCCTCTACAGCAGTTTCATGGGGTGCTTCGTCTATTTGGTGTTCGGTAGCTGCAAAGACATCACTGTTGGACCTACGGCAATAATGGCTTTACTGTCGCAGCACCATGTTATAAGACTTGGAGATGATATCGCAGTAAGTGCATCACCGCGTTTTTCACGTTTCCCGTACGATCAAGCTGTCTGTTTTCGAATTGAAAATCCCTTTACGAACGGTTGTGGAATAAAATTGAACGATAAAATTGCTTTTCAAAGAGGGTCTCCTCCTTATTTTCTCAACATTCTACTGAATAATGGATGTGTAAACGCGCTATGTTTAGTAAATACTATAATGCTTGGTGTGAGCCCGCCCATTTGCCAGCTCGGTTAACTTCGCGAAACGAAAAATCGAGAGAATTGATGAAATTATGTAGATCAAATGTAAATACTTTTTATACCGTTGCGTTGGAAACAATTAGCGTTTCAATTACATTGTCGCAACGATTTGCTTTAGAGTATGGAGTTAGACACATTGGTTTTTAAAATCAATTATTTATCGTTCAATGGCCATTCAAATTTTTGTCATTTAGTGGAGGAAATTTATTTCAAATGTAAAAAGTTTTGGCGCTAAAATTTGAAAAGTCGAGTTAACCACGATTCACACGAGAAGTATAAACGATTCGATTGTTCATCGAGTACACAATTTTTGTTTCGAGATGAATAGTAAATTTTCGTAGGGAAATGTGCACGTAAGATAGTTATTATTAATCACTTTTACAAAGTGAACTTTTGATCTACGATAACACGAGACGAAGCGTATCGGGTCAGTGTGTTTTGTAGTATTAGATTACGAAGTTTTTCTCATCCGCTTTTCCCGCCGAGACCTTTCTCTCTTATTGTTAAGCTGCTATCTATTTAAAAGTCTGGCGAACTTCCTTGAAGAAATGCTACTGATTAATTTCAAGAGCGAGGAAATTTTATTCGAAAAGTTTATTCAATTCAAAAACAGCAAGTCCTTTGCATCAAGGAGTAAAAGCTTATTGTTCCATGAAACTCGTAAGAATTTCTTCGCTAGCTCGGAGAACACGTGCATTAAAATTTATACGTGAAAGTATGAGATATCGTACAATTTGTTTATTGCCATCTTTCCATTGGAAAGTGTGGATTAAGCATTCAAAGTAAACTTAGTATTAATAATTTGCAAGTGAAGTATGTGTAGTTAGTGTACGTATAAAAAAATTTGTATACGTAATTCAAATGGTTTCAAAGGGTGAATTAAGATGGAAGATATTGGAAATGGGTTATGGAATTAAATAGTCTTTTATCTTTGTAATATACGATTTTATTTACGGTCTCAGAGGAAACGTCTTTACTCTATTGAATCTTCTGAAGGACTGTTTCTAGGCACCCAAAAGAAAGTTGGGGTCCCCTTATACCTAGAAACTGTTTACGTTATGGTATGGCATTGTGCCGTGAGTGACTCGAAGACGAACACCAGATGCAACCTGGTGGAAGTCCCAGTGCCATTGTTTAAAATAACCCGGAGACATTTTTGTCCTCACTTGATTATTTCCATAGGGTGTTGTTAGAAATAATCCAACAGAAGAAATGGCGAAAAATGAGAGAAAGTTTCACATTTGATTATTTTATGGTCATTCGTGGAAAATTAAGTTTATTAATCATTCTAAGGTAATTCGTGGAAAATTGAAGATTATTCAAGAAATGGGAAAAAACGAAAAGAAGTTAGATATCTGGTTAAAAATTTTAGAGTCAAAAATAATTTTATGGTCATTTATGGAAAATTAAGTTTATTAGTCATTCTAAGGTAATTCCTGCAAGATTTAAGATTATTCATTTGATCATCGTTTGATTTAAAACTTCAGAATCGAAGTTCATACTATTATGCATGTTTAGATACACATCGATGTCTGCTGCAACATACAGCGGAAAAGTATATACACGCATTCATGTGAAAAAGCATAGGTGACTTCGAAAAAGAACAGAAAATGTGGCATTTATAAAAAAAAATTCTTTTTCCCATCTTATTCACCCATTGAAACCATTTAAATTGCCATTTAATAAAAATTGTCTCGTACCTCCATAGTTGGAGAAGATAATTAGGTGCCCTGCGTTTCACGTCGCCCACACTCTGTGTATATTGTTTAATTTACTTTCAGGTGCTTCTGAGCTTCTTGACAGGATGTGTGATACTGTTCATGGGAGTACTTCACCTGGGATTTCTTCTTGAATTTGTTAGCATGCCAGTAATCTCTGGATTCACTAATGCAGCTGCCATGATAATTGGAACATCTCAACTGGGCACGTTGTTTGGTTTGAGTGGCAGAAGCGATTCGTTTATCGATGCAATTGTTAAAGTTGTCAATCACGCGAACGAGATTACTCCCTGGGACCCGTTATTAGGAGTCTGTTCTATGATCATTCTTGTTTGCTTCAAGGTAAGCTTAATGCTTTTCACCGTTTTCAATATATTTAGGTCATCCGATAAGTTCGTGTCGAATTTCATAATTTAAATCAATATTTCTAACGATAAGAAATTATCCTTTAAATTTGATCAAAAAAAAAACACAAGCGCCATTTCGTTGCATATTTTTTTCTTATTTGGGTGACCATTATGTTGTCGCTGTAGAATTTACTTACCCGAATTTTCATTAAAGTATTTCTCGCTTTCGGCACGAATTTATGGGATGACCTAGTATAATTCAGTATTATGCATTTATTTGGGAAGGATAAAAGTTCCCTTTTAGCGTGAAACTTATTTCCAATTCAATTTTTCGTAGGATTATTCTGAAATTTTGAAATCTAAAGAATTAATTAAAAATTTTGTCTTTAATTGTTTTATTAGATAAATGTTACTCTAAATTTGCTATAAAATTTTCTAAATAAGATAACATACTTTTTACTTTTTACTTTCTTATCTGTTGCAACATAACTTCAATGGCATAAACGAAATGTCATCCATTTAATTTGAGAATCGATTATGCCCGAAAATAATAGCATCCGATATCAAATGAAATATTTCTAATTAGTAATACGCTTACGATTTACTTACAAGCGAAAATCTTTAGTAAATCTTCAATGGAGAGTGAACTTAATTTATCTTCTCCAATAAGATTTCTCATACAAAATAGATGTGCTGCAAAAAATTTCAATTAGATTCGCTCTTCCATTTAGAGCAAAGCATGGGCTATTTATACGGTTTTCTCATTTTCGCAATATTTGTATCATTTTTCAATTTCCGATTATTCCAAGGTTTGCAAGGTTTTAATTAAAACCTAACATTTCTGAAAATAGAATTTGCCCGGGAAGAAAAACGGAACGCCGTTCGAAAAATTCATGTGGGTAACATCGTTGGCAAGAAACGCTGTGGTTGTCATTTTCGGGATAATACTGAGCTATTCGTTGTACGCTTACGATCTCAAACCTTTTAAAATTACTGGGAATATAACGAAAGGTCTACCACCGTTGGAGCTGCCGCCATTTTCTATCGTAAGGGGAAACGATACGTATAATTTTAAAGAGTTAGTCAGTGAACTCGGAAGCACCGTCGTTTCAGTCCCGTTGATCGCCATTTTGGAGAGCATTGCTATCGCCAAAGCTTTTGGTAAGTGGTCGAAAATTACGCGAAAGTATTTATTTAATACACAAGATGTTGAACAAAAAAATCTTTTCACACTGTGTCTAATTATGTCAATTATTAAATGCTTCTGTGTGTCATTTGTACTGGTTGCAATTTCATAAAGGACATTTAATTCTAGAATTTACACATTTGCTTTTCTTTTAACGGTATAGTAATAGTAGAAAGAAAAAATGTTTCTAAATGGAATTTATTTTTTCAACGATAAGACTGGTTACTTAAGAATACTGGAATAAAAATATTTCATAAAGGACATTTCATTCGAAAATCTGAATATTTGCTTTTTTTTCTAATGTTATGCTGACGTTAGAAAGAAAATATTTCTGAATCAAATATATTTTTTAAAAAGTAAGACTGGTTACTTAAGAATATTGGAACAAAAATTAATTTAAGTTTGAAATGGTAGTTAAATTAAAATTAAACGAAATGAAATTACATTGTTTCAATTTCCTGGGAAATGAGATTAATTGTAATGTTCGATTGTGTATATAACATGACGGAAAGTACATTGAATTTCTTCAGTACTTTAATCTCTGTCACTTGATTATTTAGTTTGCTAAGTAAAATCGTAAAAATGACCATTTTTGTTCAATGCCATAAAAACCGTATCTGATAGATTCTCTAACAAGTTATCATTAATAACCGCTTATTATACTATTAACAATTCATTTTTTTTTTTTTTTTAATTCGATGCACAACACGGAAACTTAAAAGGTAACTGAATGCACAGGGTGTTGCTACGTTTACTATAATTTTACGATTAATGCAAATGTAGATATTAATTACCTTGTATTTCAATTTGTCTCATTTAGCCAGAGGGAAGACTGTTGATGCTAATCAAGAGATGCTAGCTTTGGGACTTTGTAACATTTTTGGAAGCTTTTCTCGATCAATGCCAACCACAGGAAGCTTCACAAGGACCGCCGTAAACAACGCTTCGGGTGTAAAAACACCGATGGGCGGTGTAATTACTGGATGCCTGGTGCTTTTGGCGTGCGGTCTTCTGACCTCGACTTTCGAATTCATCCCGAAAGCAACACTCGCTGCAGTGATTATAGTTGCCATGTACTACATGCTTGAACTTCATATTTTCATCGTGCTATGGAGGACCAAAAGTAAGATTCGATTAGGCGGAAACTATGCTCAACGATCACGGCTCCACTTCGGTTTTTCATCTGACATGCCACGCAAAAACGCCTTCAAAACTTAACAAAAGTAACAAAATATCTGACGCGACGTTTTCCCATTTATTAATTAAAATTTGTAATTTCTTTGTGCGCAAAAGTAACGAAGACTCTTTACACGGTACATTGATGTGAAAGAGAGAAATGTGCTCGGACAAAGAGTCTCTGTACGCATTTCTGATTACATGATGATACAATGTAAAAGGCACAATAGCTACTGAAATGTTTCTATACGAATTTCATATCAATTTGATAGTTTTAATTGATTAATTTACGATGTATAATAGGAGACATTCTTGACAGACTGTACAGCCTTGGCGAAAAGTATCGGACACCTCTGCTATTGCAGTTTAATGCGAAAACTATTCCTTTGAAACCTTTCTAACGTTCATCATCCTTTGTCGGCCAGTTCAAAGGAATTTTAAAATAGTTGACAAGGTTTATAGTGGGCCGTAGAACAACTGAGCGATCCGTAGTCTGCATTTTGTGCTTCTTCCTAAAAGTCACAGTTTCCTGTTAGTACTTGCTGCTAACACTCGTTAGCTTGTCTTTAGTTTTTCTGCTTATATTTTCAAAGTTAGAAGGTTTTTGTTGAAATCTGCCAAAAAAGACGTAAATTAATTCTATTTTGAAAAAACAGGGTAAAAGTCAGAAAGAAATTGCTGCGATTACAGCAAAGATGTGGCTCAACAAAATATTTTTAATATTTTTAATAGTGCGATTTTCTCCTAACGCAATCTCCTAATACTTTTGGCCAAGGATCCATATCTCTGAAGAATTAGAAGTTAATCGAGTAATTCTAATTAATTGCAAATGTCGTTAATTTTAATTATTCTCTCATTGATATTCACACGCGAATTTTTTTCTGTCGAAATAACACTCCACGATACTTTCCATCCTCCTTTCAACAGCGGATCCCTTCTCGCTCTGTGGAAAGTTCACAGAAACGACAGTCCACCGCACTCTAGAATTCCAGTAATTTAGCATTTGTTTCCACTTGTAGAGATCGATTTGATACCTTTGACGGTGACTTTGTTGAGCTGCTTGGCAATTGGTCCAGAATACGGCATGATTGCTGGAATCGCGGTAAATCTAATTCTCCTGCTCTATTTCGCGGCCAGGCCTGGATTATTGATCGAGGAACGTGTTGTCGATGGGCTGACAATTCTGTTTGTATCACCGAAACAATCATTGAGCTATCCGGCCGCGGAATATCTTCGTGAACGTGTGATGTCGTGGTGAGTAAAATCATTCGTCCCTCCCCCCTTTCCCGCCTTGTAATTGGATCATAAATCCAAGAAGGCTTGCAGAACTTTCGTCTCTCCCTCACTCTCCCTCTCGCGGCTCGTTCATTTTATTTATCCCGTGACGGGACATTATTGTTCTTTAGGTGTGACGGGAGGGCAGAAACTATTCCCGTGATAGTGGAAGGTCGTCACGTGCTTCGAATAGATGCAACTGTCGCCAAGAACCTTGCTTTGCTTCTGGTCGACTTGGAGGCCAGGGATCAGAAGCTCGTCTTCTGGAATTGGTGCGAGGAAGCCAGGCGAACTTTGATAAGCTACGACGCATCCCTGACGATGTCTTTCAGGACTTCCGGCAGCATAGCACAAATATTTTCAGGTAGAGTCGTATCACCTTACGTTCCACGCGAGTGAAATTCTGAATCTAATGAATGCACGGAACACTTTCCTTGGAATGCGCCCAACCGTGTTCAACGAGAGCCGCCGCTTCTTCTTTTCAACGAAATATACGCGTCTCTAATGAAGCCTCCTGGAACGTTGAACATATATTATTTCATGGTTAAAAGACACGCTTTCGTTGAGAGATTAGTACTTCCTGCAGCTTCGGCCGCTTTCAATTTCACTTTCGATCCACCCGACGATCTGTTGAAGTCGTGCGAATCTTGCAAACGGTCTCTTAGGGTAAGTGCCGTTTCAAGCGACGTCTAAACCAATGATTTTTATGAAACCACGAGCAACCAGCGCTCTATCTTTTTTTCTTTTTTCACCTTAGATCTAAGGGAATAAAAGCGACACGGTTTTAGGTAATATAGAAGGGGGGGAAAAATGAATTTAACGACTCGTACGTTACGGTAACGTCGTTACACGAAAACCCTTAATTGCAATCTCATTAGAAGGAAATTAAACAACATTAGCTTTAAGGATCTCCGCGGTCAATTCAATCTGTATATTGCAGAGTCGTCGTTGCATTACTTTAAATTAGCCTCGTACTTAGCTAGTATCACGGAACACTTTTTCTTCTCTTATCTAATAGAGCGTAAGTAAAAAAAAAATAATACTTCACCGTTAATTTTAATTATCAGCTTCGCGAATGGAGGGTAATATCATTTGTCCCTAATTCCACATGGAGCAATACGAAAAAGCTTCTCCTTGGTTTTATACAGCCACTATTTTAGCCATTATATCAAAATGTACTTATCTTGCGACATTCTGTACTTCTTGTTCCTATCTTTCTTATTTACTCGATTCCAGGCTTCACGTGCTTAAGAAAGAAACATACGAACTATAATAATAATAATAATGTTTTCCTGAGCTCTCTCAGGTAAAGAAGTCTCTTTTCAATTTTAGCACACTTATCGCGAAATAACTATGTGCTCGTGTTTTGTTTTTTCTTCTTTTCTTTTTCCGCGTAGCGATAAGTAATTAAATCCACCGCGTTGAATACCGAATCGTATAAATGACCGGCTATTGAAAGTATCGAAGGATCTCGTTTCGTTTCTACTGTAATAACGTTTGCGTAACCACGCGATGCCAATTGGCGGATGTATACGCGGTGAACCTCTTAACACGATATCAGCTGTTTTTTTTTTTTAAGTGGTGTAAGTCCGATTTTGAAAAAAATCGAGTAATTCTAGTTTCAGCTAAACATGGATGTTTAACGGTTAAATTTTTTTTTATGAGTTCGCGAGGATATTGTGGTGTATTGACTTTGTTGTTATAAATATAAAAAGAAGAGATCTATGTTTAACTGAAACTAGGTTTAACTCGTTTTTGTCAAAATTGCACTTGTACCACTTTCAAGAATAACGGCTGAAATTTGACTGCATAAATACTTCTTTTAAAAATGGTACAAATCCATTTGTAATTGAAAAAATCCCTTGTTTTACTTTAACGATATTAATAATTATCATCGCATAATAAAATTTAACGTATTCAAAATTTTAGAAATATTATGCGAAATTATTGACGTTTGCCAATATTTTTTAATTCATTCAAACGCAAGCCTTTAAGTATCTTAATATAAGAATAAATGGACTTATACTGTTTAAAAGAAAATGGCTCATATGATGATCACCATAGATTATTCTATAGTTCGTGGATCAATCGGAATCTTTTTTACCTCGCATAAGTAATTAAGCGGTTCACCCTGTGTTATCGACCGAGATTGTAATTTCAACTATTGTTACATCTTTTTTTTTAAGATCGAAATTTTTCTTTTCATCGCATATGTGACCGCGTGCTTTACCCTTGTATATCCTGTAGAAAGATTTACGTTTATTTAAATTTGTATGAGAAATTTTTCATCCCGGTTACGTGATCCCCATCGAAAATTACCGACATTAACATATGGTTCTACTATCGTGTATGTACGCGAATATGAAATTACACTGTTCCGAGAGATGCGCAGGAATACCGGTTAAGTTGAATCAAATGGTAATATCTAATATCATTTGTTACTTCATGTACATACCTATTATATATACATATATCTGTCATGTTTGAATAACTTCTTTCAGGGATCTAACGTTGATCGTTTGATAATTCTTAAATATTACACGTCGAAGATGCACAGAGACGCTTACGAATTTCAATAATATTTATAAATACAAGGATCTGAAACGTTAATTTATTAGCGAGGCATTTTTGTATTGACGCATTTATTATTGCTTCTTCATATTTTTACACCGGTTTTGCATTCAAATATAATTATTATTTTGGTGTGCAGGTTTTGAAATAGTACATACATACATGTACATGCGGCTGCTATTTATTGGGTTAGTATTTAAAAAACATTCTAATCGGTATTTTAAATAAATGGTGGGTATTACGTCGATTATTACAAAAACTGTCAGTATTTTCATTAAAATATTAGTAAACATAATAATTTGTCGGTATTTTAAATAGATCGTCAATGTGTATAATAAAATATTCTAATCTAACCTAACCTAACCTAGCAAAAAATTTTAATCCTATTGACCAAAAAATACATTAATACCGATCAAATAAACTGACAAAATGCGATTTAATACTGATAATTAATCATTTAACTGATAAAAATATTCATTTTTACAGACTATTTATTTAAAAAAAGTACCATCAGTTGATAAAAATACTGACCAAATAAATAGAAGCGTACGCATAAAGTCAAGTTTCGTCTGTTGTAATCGAAATAAAATGCTGTTGTACCTGCAGTGACAGTAGAAATACCATTAATAGTCATTTGAAATAGTTTGTTTTGGTATGGACGTACTCAGATTTAGAAAGAGTTTAAAATAGAAGTGCTTGAAATATTCAAGAAAATAGTATTTTTAATTTTATTAATACGTTTGCTATTATACGTTTGCATTATTAAGCTGTTCTGTTGAATGCAATGCATGTTTACGCTTATGAACGTATGACTAGTATTAAATGCGCAAACTATGCATTTTATATGGTGTATAACAGATGTGAATTACGAGAATTGATACATACTGTAATACATATTTGACGCTGCTAGCAAACGTGTTAATTAATATACTAGACTTATTGTTTAGATCTAATGCTTTTAGATTCATTGTAATTTTAACGATTCAAAAATTACGAAATTATCGAACGTATAATTTCGAGGTGAGATTAGGCGCGATTTTTGAATACTCGAACGTAGATTGTTTTTACTGGTCAAGAACATTTTAGAATGTTACAAATATTCTTATGAAAATGAAAATTTTAAACGTTCGAAATTTATGTAGTTAATTAAATAATAAAAACATTGTACATTTTTATATGTATCATGAATGTTATTATATTTATATAAGGTAAACGAAGAAATTTTTATTTTAAATTCATCATATGTAAACTGTCGTATATTTGTACCGTAATACCAGATTTTACAATAAAATTTGTTGCCAAACATCATAAAATGATTTTTTCTTTGTAGACTAGTATTTATAAGATTATTAAATACGTAATTTAAAATTTATGAGAAAATGATCGTTATTGATATTTTGCTAAATTTAATTAATAAATAAGATCTTAAAAATGAATTTAACCCTCAATATTTACACAATCAACATATAACAAGATAACCTCAATTATGTAATACATGCTGTTACAAAATTCTTCAGATTATTTAAAATTCCTTCAGATTCGTCAGATTATTTATTTATGCAAAAACAATCTTGTTGTATAATCTATGACGAAACAATTAAATGACGTGTTACTTACAGAGTGATTTTTTCAAGTGTTGTACCGGCTTATTATCGCCACGTAATACTATTATTGATGGAAACAGATTACGTGGACAAAGTGTCACAGCCTTTTTCGTAACCACTTTCAAAACATCTTTTGTCATTTATCCTAAAATAGATTTTTCCTTTTGCAGATCAAAGAGAATTTTTTTAATATATTCGACGTTATCCAACAACACCAAAATATAAATGTTAAAAATATAGCACGGAGGGTGCTTCCGCGCCCTTTTTTTCGTCGTGGTAGCACGCATGCGTGAACAATACCCGCGTTCGCGGTTGCGCGCGCATCGATGATCGACCAATAAGAAAGCCGAGTAGTAGAGGGTGCTTCGATCGATGCACTCGCCCTAGGAGTGTGCGCCAGTGGGCGACCGTTTACAACGCGATAAGCGTCGCGGTCCACTCAACGTTAGGCAAGTAGAGGACGTCGTTTTGGTACGTCTGTTTTCCACTTGGTTGTCCTTCCTCGCGCGGGTTCGGTCGTGTTAATTCTCGGAAAACAATATTCCCGGTAAACTGTCGGTCAACGGTGTTGTTACACTTTTTGTTTATGACGAGCGGTCGTTACCGCGAACGCGATGAAACAATGAAGCAGACGACCACGAGCAACGGCAACTGTCAAGAAGATGCCGGTACACTACTTGCACACGGGAAATGCGGGCCAGCTGGACAGTGTCGCTTTGTAATCGTGAGTAACTTTGAATTTCACTTGCCGAAACTGTTCCAAAACGTGACTACAGGGTCACAGTTTGACTTATATCGAACACCAGTTTCTTATAGAGGTCAGTGTATTTGACAGTTGTTCAATTTCTCTGTCACGATTAACCAATTTATGGGACTGGAGGCTGTCTCGTGGAATTATGCATGTGTGTCATGATTCGTGCGATCGTACTTATTCGGTCTAACCTTTAATTGAGCGAATCATTTTGTCTCCCTCCCGCTAAATTTCGGAATATTGCTATTTTTATAATCTTGATTTATACTTCAACGTTCTGTTACTCTTACACCGATTAACGATTATCTTTAACATTTTAAAACAAAATTGGTTTCCCTCCAGACTGTAGTCAGGTTATGTACAAATATCTATTTGAATTTGTTTTAATGGTAATATTTCTGTTACAATTTGAAACATGTGGTGTAAATTTCCGTTACGGAATTGTCTTTAATTTTGGTTTATTTAAAAGTAGCAGCGATTTAATGATGTATTCGATCAATTATGCTCTTGTTTTCAGATTTATTATACTATACAGGATCTCACTTTAATTATGATAAATAAGTAATGGATATTAACTGTAATTAAATACATAATAATCTGAGTGCGTCGTTTATTTATTATCTGTTAATATTCATCTACTAAAATAAAATTCCTATCGCTTTTAATTCATCGATTAGAACATAACCTTTAGTGTTTAAAGTAAATCATTTGCTGACACGTAACAGTTGAAAATATGTAACAGATAATGATTTTTGTCTCGATTGCGTGCAATTGATTCCAGATACTAATTTTTAATTATATTGTAATAGCGGAAGTCCCGTTGATGTATACGTATGGCGTTTAATGAATGACAGGTGTATTCCGGACGAATTTTAATTTAATCGGACGATCTTCCTGACCTCGTGCATAATTATCAACAGAGTTCATACACGTTTTCTAATACTTTACAACACGTCTTTTATGTTGATTATATTCTTTTCAATAAAAATAATTGCTTAAAAAGAAGGGGGACATTTTCTTTTGTTTAAAACGTTTTACGAGTAAATTATAAAAATGCGACGT